GGGTCCCGTTCGAAGGCGCAGCTGGGGAGAGAGGCTTGGGGAGGCCTCCTGAGTCAGATATGAATCTTTGTGCCGGGAGGGCGGCCCGCACACTCGACGGCTAACGGCGGGGTGGCATCCGTCCTTAGAAAAGGAAGCGGGGAAACGAGGGGACGAGGGAGACTACGACGACGAGCTCGCGTAATAATTTATTCCGTTTAGGCTCCCTGTCAAGTCTCTTCGACGCTGGATCTGGGCCCTCCTCCTCCTCTTCACTCTCTCTCTCTCTCTCTCTCTCTCTCTCTCTCTCTCTCTCTCTCTCTCTCTCTCTCTCTCTCTCTCTCTCTCTCTCTCTCTCTCTCCCCCTCTCTTTCGTACTCTCTCTTTCTCTCCTCTATTCATCTTCTCTCATTCCTCTTCTCCGGGTTCTCTCACCAGCACTCTGGCATCCCGCGGCACTCAACAGGGGCCGGTCGTTTATCTAAATGGCTACTGGGTGGCCCGGCCGACCGTGTCCCGTCCCAACAAACCAAAACTAACCCAATCACACGCCTCCCGAGCGCTCCGGCGCGTCGAAGAAACGACCCCGAGGAGAGCTGATATCCTAAGCTCGGTGATTGTCGTGCCAGCAAAACTGCGCCAGGATTTCTCGGTACTACGGTTCAGGCCTGCCTGTCTGTCTGCCGCCCGCCCGCCTGCCTGCGTGCTCGGGTCGTCGTATCGCCATTGTCGTTATCATCGTCGCTTGCCGGGTGTAATGGAGGTAATCCGACCTCGTTGAGAGAATATTTAACGGTCGGTCCCCCTGCTCGCGCGCGCGCGCGCGCGACGGGCGCGTACGGACGATGCCGTGCTACTTTCCCGCTGCTTCCTAGTATCGTTGTTATGCAACATTACCACGCCACTTCGGTACTGTTTCAATAGCCGGGGCTAGCGAAGCGCTCTCCGTCCCCGGCTCATTGATACGCGCTCTCGCAAGCGAAACCAAGCTGGCATGGATCGTGTCTTATAGCCGCCGGCGACAACGGCGCGGTTACACGCGACTTCGCGGATCTCGTAAAATTGTCGCTTAAGTAGCGACGGTAATACCGGAGATACTTGTAAACTGAATACATCGTCCAGAGAGAGAGAGAGAGAGAGAGAGAGATGATAACATATTGTGTCGCGCGGATCATTGCGCCCGTTTTAGATCTTCTGTCATCGCGCAAAGAGGCGAAGTACGAGCGCGTTCGTAAGATGTAATTACGGTGTCGTGGTAAGAAAGAAGGTTCTCCCATGCTGAATTATACGAACTGGATGTCAATTAATGCTAAATGTATACTGTAATATTTTAAACATCGCGATTATATCAGAACGCGAACGGCGCATTAGCCGGCGGTGAAAACACATCGCGGGGCTCTCCCGACCGTTTAGAGATAACTCGCCGATATCACGCGAGAGCGGAAACATTCGAAAGTGCGCTCGCCGGTGACGATTATCGTTTCCGAGCTCTCCTCCTCCTCCTCCTCCTCCTTCGGCGCTTCTTTTCTTCTCGTTGCACGAGCGCACGGCCATTATCTACGCCGGAAGAGGAAACGATCTACGTGGACCACCCGGTACGTGACTTTTCTCTCCCGTCTCTGTGCGCGATTCGCGGCGCTCCGACGTTGAGCGGTGCAACCTGGCGCGGCGCGATTCCCTCGTGAATTTTTTTAATCCGCTTCGCTGGTCGCCGTGTCGCACTGTTTTCTCCCCTCGGCGTTGCGTTGCGTTGCGTTGCGTTGCGTTACGTTGCGTTGCATTGTGGCGGCGGTAGCAGCGGCGGTGGCGGCGGTAGCAATGTTCGTTTAAAATGCAAACTCGTTCGCGGTCCGCCGGGGCTTTAAAAACAGCCGCTATACCTATCTGGATTTTCGTTTGCTGTGCCGCCGCAAACTTGGCCCCGCCGAATCTTACGGGCCTCGTACAGGGATTTATGGCGGTGCTGACGCGTTTCTATTCTGGACCGCCTCGTCGCGCCGAGAAACATCTCCTCCTCCCTTCCCTCCTCCCCGACGCGTTCTTTCTCCATCATATTGCTCGTATTTAGCGCGTCTTCGCGATCTTTCTTGGTAACATCCGATTAAAAAAAGAGCGATTTTCTTATACGCCAAAGTTAATTGAAATCGTCGATCTCGCCTCGATTCCGCATTTTTTTAAATCATAGGTATATATTTTAACTTGCAGATATTCGCTTGATCAAATTTCTTATCTTTCTTTGGTTCACGTGGATTTATGATTCCTATATGTAATTTGTTGGATTCATAGGTTGTGAAAAATATTACGTTTCAATGTGTTAAATTCCAGCGGATATAACTTTCACGTGTCGTTTTTAATAATCTTGCTACAAGATAAAGAAAAGCTTCATCCTGAAATTCTTTGATTATTAATGAATAACATGTGTAACGCAAAGATTTTTCTCACCATTGTCTTCATTTATATGCAAGCGTACAATATTTGCGAGCACATAAATTTGTTGTCCCAGACATTTTACATCTTGCAAGATGTCACGCGATTTTTCCCCTGAAATTCTCGTTTGCCAGATAAAAGACATCGTACTACTTTCCTCAAGATTTGTTCTTCTTTTTTTTTCTTATGAATGATTCTTTCCAATCTTGGAGTTATATATCATGTGTCGTGTTTCTCTTTTGTCATTTTTTTCAACAATCACATTTTTATTAGAAAGATTTTAATCCGTGGCGACCTGATTACCACTTTATGATTTTGAACCCCATTTTCGCATCGTGAAAAAGATTCAGAATCGAATGATCACGTTTAACGTTGAATGCTAGAGAGGTGAATGCGGGTTTCTCCTCTCGTACCTTTATCTCGAAAGAGACGCTGGCGAAAGTAAGATCAGACTCTCGGCTTTCCTAGTAATTTGACCAGAGCGATAAAGGCAGTTCTGCGCTCCTTTGACCGGGAGGATGTTGATTCAATGGGCACTGATGCATTAGATGATCGTCTAATCATTGATGCAGATATAAGCCGTGAGTAAAGGTGAGGGCGAGATGCTTAATTAGCTTGGTCGTGTAATGCGGAGCGACACTGAGGGCAGCTTGGATAAAGGGCTAAATTTATCCCCGATAGTTCTTTGAGCCCCTCTGGTTGGGCACTTATCCTATGCGAGCACGCACTTCCGCGTTTTAATCCTCTGACGCAGTACTCGGTGTCTACCGCATTTAAAAGTTCTATATATAATAATAATAATAATAATAAAAAGAATAAAAAATATAAAAGTATCTAAAAGCCGCGATAAGATAATTATCGGTATCACAGAAGGTTTCTTCCGTATTCCCTAAAAGTATGAGAGATTTAATAACTTCGAGATATAGGATGTTCTACACGACAATAGATATTATCGATGTGTCTTAAATCTAAATGAGCGAGGATAATGACGATTTTTAATGAAAAAAGAGCAATCGATTTAATAACTCTGCGACAATATCGTTTTAATTCATCTTACGCACCATAAGATGATTTCCACGAAAAATACACACATTACGCACTCAATAAAATAAATATATAAATAAAATTTCGTGTCTAGTGAATTGATGTATAATATCCACGTTCATTCGTAAGTTTAAACATTCAAGACAACGTCAATGCCGACTGGTTTTCTATTAATTTATTTTCATTCTGTTTCATACTAGTTTCCTATGCAAGGTGCGCAATTTAGAATTATTAAAAATAAAGTCGTCCTGCGACTTTGAAAATCATTCGAACCGCGCATTAGTTTATAACTTAATGTCATGCTTAAATACACAGAGCTCGAAAGTGATAATTATTAACTTGAACGAGTGGCGAGCGCGCGAATTTTTTCCTCGAAGGACAATGCCGGTTTGTGAATGTGATCGGATAGGCGTCGCTATTGTTATCCCGCTTGACCATAGCCACTTAAGCCCGTGCGCTAAACTCCACGAGTTCAACTTTACCCTTCAACAGGTGTTTAGGGAAATACAATAGTGTCGCGCATGCGCGCCGAACTTCTTGAGGTCGCAAAGTTCGCTGGAACAATCTGACCGCGACCATGCCCGCGGGCGATGCCGGTACTTAGGACGAGATTAATTAAGATTACGCAGGACGCGCCGCGGTTCTCAACCCCGGTCCGAAACGGAGGCAAGTAAATTTCGCGCGGTTGATAAGGAATTTCGTTAATGCATGCGAGATGAGAAACGACGAGGCTCAATTAGAAGGATGTGATCTGAGATAAGTTCCAAGATCTACTTGTCTCAATAAGTCCGTGGGAAATTACAATTGCGAGGAATGCATATCTTTAATAAAAAAATATATTGTTAAATTAATTTACATATAGTGACATATTTATCTCTCTTAAATTATTTATCTCTCTTAAATTATAAGAATAAGAAATAAATTTCTGCGAAGACTTTGCTTTGCAATCGCATTTGGGTAAAATATGAAAACGTGCTTGTTTGACGATACAGAAAACAGATTTTTATTGACTTAATATGATCTATTTAATATGATCTTCTCTTTTCTTTTCCAGTTTTACTAAAACTTTTAAAATTACAAAAGTTGTAGTTACAATCAATAAATTTTTAACACAATTGAGATGTAGCTTATCAGTAGCAGATAAAATTGTCTTAGGGAACTGATCTGCCAGTAGTCGATAAGGTAGACTGTCGGAGCTCATGTTGGTAATAGTCGAGAACTAAACACACTTCCCGACTGGGGAAGGTTCAAAGGAAATTCATGTTACTGCTCCAACGATAGGTGGCGCTTGAATATAGTATAATTCTCGAAAGTATTCTCGAAAATATATATAATTTGTAAAAATCTTGATTAAATTTTAAATTGTTTATATTATATACGCTTTCTTTATGATTACAAAACGGAACTGCAAAAACGCAAAATCATATATTACTCTTTTTTATTATAAATAAATATAATAGGATTTTTTGTTGTATATTAAATTTATTGTAGTTGCTTATAATGACAAATTAAACATGCTTATCATTTTTTGTGTTTTATTTTGTTTATAGGCAATGAATGGTGCTGAAGGTACGATTCCACCTGGAAGAGTGTACAAGAAAGTCGCGATTGTAGAGAATTTCTTTGACATCATCCATGCCGTTCATGTCGATCTCGAAGGACGTCCTGGAAAGCATGCCGGTCAAAAGCGCACCTACAGAACGGTAAGTAGCATTTACACGTAGGAAATTCTTACATTAATAAAAAAATTTAGTTTTTCAAAAATGTTTCTTTAAATACATATATTTAAATACATTTAATATCTAAAGAAAATATACATTTTGTATGTTCTAAGGATCTTTTTCAATTTTTATTACATGCTAACTAGTAAAGTTCGAAACGTTTATCTTAAAATATTATACAATTAATTTATCATTGTTTTCATCTTATTTCCTCGCATTTGGCCGCGAATTCCCTCATATTATACATATACATTTTGTTTTATATATTCAATATAAAATAATAAAAATTCAAAACATCGCATATATATATGTAAATTAAAGATACTTTATTATATAATTAATATATAATATATAATATATAATTAATATATAATATATATTAATTAACATTGAAGTTGATGTTTTTTTTAATTATCGAAGCGCAACGGTATCGTTCGTTTATGCGCGTAAGCAAGATCTCTTAGTATTTGACTCTTTAGTGCAAGGCATGATGCTAACTATAGTATCTCTCGATCTGCAGAGCAATCAAATTCGGGCATTATCGGCAAAACGCGATGAATTCTTGCATGGTTGCCCGCGACACGCGATATTTACCGTTCTCGAAGGAAGGCATCGAGGCGTTCAAGCGTCGAACACTCGATACCACACGTCATCTCACATGTTCCGGCGCGCATTCGCGTAAACCTCTCTCCAGTGTATCATATCTGTTCTCTCGCTCTCTGTTTCTCTCTCTTCATCCTCTCTATCTCACATCCTCA